CATGTTGAATTTTCACGATAAATCTAAATTTTAAACTTTTGGCGCATTCAGGCGCAATCATATGAGAGGTACAGTCAGAGTTGAGTCACTGTATGAAGAATTTTATAGAAAAATTATACTGTACACTACACAGCAATTATTTATAAAGCCTGCGTGTCCTTAAATATTTGGGAATTCTTAGGAATTTTTTGGTTGCAATATTTACTTCCATTGTTTAAAAATTTCCCCCACCATCCCTATTCTCTTCTGGACTGTTAATCATCGACAGATCTGAGTATTTTTCAAAATTTAGCCAACATATTTCATTTCAACTCAGATATGGGAGAATGTTATAATTTTGTTCACCTATCGAATTGTGCATTCTTGACGTGTGCTATAGTTTCGTTTTCTTAAATTTCTGCCGAATTTACTTGAACTCTTAATAAAAGCAAGGATCAAGACGGTTTGCCACTTAATCCTCATACTACTGTACATTTTCATTGTTTGTTATTGTGCTCATTTAGATTTTTTGAATTGCAGTCCTGATAATTAACCAAATCCTCCCGTATTAATTGACACATTATTGCTGGATTCGGAATGATGTTTATCCAGAAAATTTCCGACTGCCAGTTCTCGCTCTAATTTAAATCTGACGGTGATTAAACAGGAATTGATGAATTGGTCTGGAAAACATAAAATTGTACTCCAGATCCATATCCATATAATCACAAAGAATTTCACTGGGCAAAGTTGCAATGAAAGCAGAAACGTCCCCGAAGCTGAGTCGGTTCGTCAATTATTGTTTTTTCTACGTTCTTGTGCTGGCGATACCAACAAAAACCTCAGCGATAATTTCCAAAACTTCACAATCAAGCAACGCTCTTCAAACTTGCTCAAGAATTTTACAAGATTGGCTCGAGCACACGTCAACAGAAATTGCCGACTTTGAATTCCTGTATACCAACAAAACTCAGCTGCCGATAAGTGGAAATGCTGGTGCCTGGTCATTTCTGATGATCGAAAGTGGAGGAAATTACAGCCAGAATTACGTACTAGACACCGGAGTAACCAAATCATACTTCAATCATCGAGTGCGAGGCAAGAAAACTTCTCAATTAATTGTCACATCGGATTCTACAAAAGCGTTGCGTTCGCTGATCGAGAAAAACAATGGAAAACGATTTATGCAATTTGAGCCATCTTATTGGTACACATTNTTAGGGTCAGGAATTCTGAGAAACGGTCAACTGAACAAGTTTCGATTACTCTCACATTAATTTTGCGAAAAATAATTCGTTTTCAGTTTCTGAAGGGCCGGTCTATTGAAATACGGAAAATGTTGAGAGACAATTTGTCAGAGGGTAAGGTAAAACGATGAAAGGATTTGGATTTTTCGTTTGTTTTAGTTTCAATTCCAGGAAAGAATGTTGCCCGTATCCTGCCATTAAACAAAAAACTCGAAGTATGCAAATTCTCATAAAGCACGAAAATCGAAGTCATGTTCGAAAATAATGAGACTTTTTTAATTAGCCTTACATTTGCAATATCGTTTTTCCATTACATATAATCCCTCGGCCTATGCATACAAAATCCCGCAATTATTTTCGGGGTTTTCATCTTCAAATACATAATATGCATACGCATAGGAAATGAAAGCAGTACACAATTCTGAAACCATTTCACTTCTTTATTTTCTTTTTGCCATCCCGGGGAAAAATCTGCATTCCTTTGGAAAATATTTCAAAACTCCTGAAATATCTTCATGAGCAATGCAGATCCTGTTGCCTGACTGGCCTTTAGAAATCAATTTGAAAGGCGAGTGGAACTGGGACAACTTCATCCGGATCGTATTCAACCAACCAGCATATCAGAGAGCACATGAGAATTTTAAGGAATGTTGTTTAATGCGCGTTCTATTAATCATAGCAATTTAACTAAATACAGAATATGTTCCGTGATTAAAAAAAATTATTTAACTTGAATGTTGCAATTTCTAAGGCGATGGCCCTTTGGACCTCTCAGTAAAATAGTATCCTGCGTATTTAAAGTTGGCTGAGTTATTCTTGATTCTCTCTAAACGTGCATTTTGTCAAGATTTTGTTTCGTTTTAACGCGTCATTTGCTATTAAGTAAATGTTTCATGCTCTCATGAACGCTAAATCCAATATATCCGCAAATATATTCTAGATTTTGAAATATTTTTTAGTTATTCTTTTTTTCTAGGAAATACTTTCCATGTCCGGAGATTGATAATACCTTAGTAATATTTCAGAAAAGCTCTACGAGGTATTGCTCATTGATCTTCGTCTCAATCATCGCGCTGATTTTAGAACGATAATAATTAGGCCTATACAGAACCCGACGATGAGGGATTTTAAATTAATGAATTCAATTATCTTGATCCTCCACGGAAATACAGCAATTTGTTCTTAATCGTCGCAGGATCCACCGCTCTGTATTATATTCGGATATTAAAAGCTAATTTAGATGCTCCGCGAATTAGTGGTTTTCGCACTTTATGCTGAACTCATTTACCAAAAATCCAGAGCCATAATTTTGGAATGCATTAAAATCAGGCGGACGCAGTTTTTTTTCCGCCAGAAAAGCTGACATAAAATAACTTGACATGGTTGTCCTTGGTTGCTAATTTCTTGGACGGAAGTTATTCAGTCTTAAGCTACATGATCTCGGTACCTGGCCAAAACCCACAAGCAGTTGAACAAGCTCGTGCTACGGAATTATCGTCATTCAGAGATTATTAATCACAAAGAATTTCACTGGGCAAAGTTGCAATGAAAGCAGAAACGTCCCCGAAGCTGAGTCGGTTCGTCAATTATTGTTTTTTCTACGTTCTTGTGCTGGCGATACCAACAAAAACCTCAGCGATAATTTTCAAAACTTCACAATCAAGCAACGCTCTTCAAACTTGCTCAAGAATTTTACAAGATTGGCTCGAGCACACGTCAACAGAAATTGCCGACTTTGAATTCCTGTACACCAACAAAACTCAGCTGCCGATAAGTGGAAATGCTGGTGCCTGGTCATTTCTGATGATCGAAAGTGGAGGAAATTACAGCCAGAATTACGTACTAGACACCGGAGTAACCAAATCATACTTCAATCATCGAGTGCGAGGCAAGAAAACTTCTCAATTAATTGTCACATCGGATTCTACAAAAGCGTTGCGTTCGCTGATCGAGAAAAACAATGGAAAACGATTTATGCAATTTGAGCCATCTTATTGGTACACATTTGTTCGAATCATCCTAGTCTTTGAATCCCCGTTTTCGAATGAGGATAACATGTGAGTAAAAATATTCCTACAATTTATAATCGGCGATTTTCCATGGCCGTATAAAATACGTATAGAGATTGACAAAAAATTTAAAAATATATTTTTTAGAATTATTCGATTGAAAATTTTGAAAATGTCCAATGCTTGAAAAAATCTGTGTTTCAAACATATTTCCTTCTATTTCAGTTCATTTTGTTGTTTGTTTAGTTTGATGGAAAATTCTCTCATTCGTCTTATTGAAGATTAAAGGAATTCACACTATTATATTGAACCATGCATAAAAACATGTGAAAAGCCTCATTTTTGTTGCTCCTGAAGAACTCATGTAATGTCTTAATCACTATAAAGTTTCATTATGATCTGCTGGTTTTTCCTGTCACAAAATTTGAACATCAGTAAAATCCATCAGTTACCAACCAGCAATAACATCAAAATCTTTGAATTTTAGGTATGTTGAAATTTAATGAAGACATTTCATACACATTTTTCTGCTACTGCAGTTTTCAAATTCTTGAATCCTCACAATAATCGTCTGAAATCTTGATCTAAAACTCGGCCTCTTAAAAAGATTTTCACGGCGCTTCAGGAGCTTGAAAGTTCAATACTGTAGAAGACATTCCGCGATATACAAGTTATAAGTTCTGAAAACCACGTGAGAAAGATGAATGATGAAAACTTTGAAATCATTCGTCTTTCTTCAACTCGCAAACTTTTAGAGACGGCTTTGCAAACTACGTCTCCGGGAAAATGCATGTAACAAATATGCTGCTGATGGCCCCCAAATCCTCGTCGGATTCCTCCTGCGAAATTTTACAATTCTGCTATTCGTGTCAAGAAGGAGGCGGGAATATGCTGAAGCGGATTAACTTGAACGAATTCGAAGAAATAAACAGCGTCAAAAAATTTGTCAACACGGATTTCAAGGGAAACTTGAATCGCAAACTCCTTCAGACGACGGCCACAAATTCCTACCGGACATTTTACCCGACTGGTAAATACGGATCAAAGGGAGAAATCTTGTACACTGGATTTGACGTGGACATTCTCGACATCATAGCGAATTCCATGAATTTCACTTATGTCTGGAGAACCCCAGAACCCCCCGCTACTTGGGGGTCGCAGATGCCGAATGGCTCATGGAATGGCATTGTTGGTAAGAAAAGTGCACATAGGGGCAAACACAATTCTTGAAATATTGATTGCCAAATTTCAAGACTGAAGATATTTTGGCATTTTTTTTCAAAAATTTAAATGAGCACTGCAGTTCCTATCACAAACACAATTCTTCAAAAGCTTAATAATCATATGAGATAAATTACCAATGACTGGTATACTTGCTTTCACAATTTTGGATGAGTAGCAATGCCGTTCCGATCAAAGTTGGATTTTGTTTTTGGGTTTCGATGCAGTCATTCAAATGTAAAGAGATCAGAAAAAATTGGGCAAACATGGCAGTCTATTGAGAAACTCCTCAAATAATTGCTGAACATTTCCCCCATGGTCGTTTCGTATATGTTTTTTTTTCTGTGAACAAAATGGAAGAACAATGTACATAACTTTGCATGAGGGATGACTTTATTGTGCAGCTGGGCCCGTACTTGATTTCACTAAGTTAATGAAAAAAAACACGTCGTAATAAAAAAAATGTTCAAACTCTACTTCTCAATATTCTCTATAGCTTTGATTTTGATTATATTATCAGCTACAACTTGGATTGCATGCATACGAGTATATATACGTTATTCCCTCGGCACAAGAGTGAAAAGAATGTACGGAAGTGCAAATTATAGTTGTTTGAGACGCGTTGCTACTTCTTAAGTCGGTATATTTTTTGAATTTACGTTGTACAGGTCGGATCGTGAAAAAAGAATTGGATATATCCGTCACGGTGATGTCTATGCTAGAAACTCGAAATTTGGTCATCGATTACGCTTTTCCTTACGACTATGACGGAATGCATCTCATGGAAGCTGCTCCGATTCCTCTAACACCAGGATTCAGAGCAATCATCAACCCATTCGGAAGCATCACATGGCTGATTTTCGCTTTTTCTGCAATAGTTGCATGGGCTGCCATCTACGTATCCTTGAAACTCAGCGCCATCTTCTCAATCGAAGCAGAAACGTGAGGATAATTGTTCGGCGGGATACAGGAAAAAAATGCACCTTATTCCGTCGTACAAGTTTACTATCAGCAGGTTTTCTACGAAAAAAATTCGTACTTCAATCTTCTTTTTTCTGGATTGAACCTCTATTAGATTTCAAGTTAGCCACACAGAATGGACATTTCCTCAAAATGAGGACGCACTCATTCGTATAGCGGTATAGAGTATACACATGAAGAGCATTTAAATTTTTCAGAAGAGCATGTTCATGCAAAACTTTACCGCTTGATACTGTATGAACTTGCTGGGGACGAAGTATTGTGCATCATTTGCTATAGTAATAAATCTCCGAATTGTTTTCTTTGCCTTCTTAATTGAAAATATTTTAGAGTTACATTCTCTTACTGTACTCTTCCATCCATACATCTTCTATATCTTCTGCCAATTTATTATCAAACCTCCAGAAGACCTTATTCTTTTTGTTGATGTGTTTGGAATACAATTTTGAAGAATTTTTAGCGAAGATTGATATTCGTCTTACAAAATACTCTTATATTGACGAAAATTCTAGTCCAATCATTGTTTTTCTGCAGACCAACAAAATGTCATAACATTTGGCAAACTCCAAAAAGTTTTGCTTGAAAGACTTCATGGCAGTAGGTATTCAAAATTTGCTTGCTTTTTTGCAAAAATTAAGCTGAGAACCAATGAAGCAGCTATATACAGTGGAATGTCTTGAAAAAATTAGAAAGTTAGGCTTGAAGAAAGGTTTCTATAAATGAAATAAAATAAATAATTTATTTCAGCAGGTGAAAATGCGTTCAAAGTACTGTACTTGTTATCATGAGAAAAGCCAACTTTTATTTTTCATCAGATAATTTAAACTGCCATTGTCTTTCNAAATTCGTACTTCAATCTTCTTTTTTCTGGATTGAACCTCTATTAGATTTCAAGTTAGCCACACAGAATGGACATTTCCTCAAAATGAGGACGCACTCATTCGTATAGCGGTATAGAGTATACACATAAAGAGCAATTAAATTTTTCAGAAGAGCATGTTCATGCAAAACTTTACCACTTGATACTGTATGAACTTGCTGGGGACGAATTATTGTGCATCATTTGCTATAGTAATAAATCTCCGAATTGTTTTCTTTGCCTTCTTGATTGAAAATATTTTAGATTTACATTCTCTTACTGTACTCTTCCATCCATACATCTTCTATATCTTCTGCAAATTTATTATCAAACCTCCAGAAGACCTTATTCTTTTTGTTGATGTGTTTGGAATACAATTTTGAAGAATTTCTAGCGAAGATTGATATTCGTCATACAAAATACTCTTATATTGACGAAAATTCTAGTCCAATCATTGTTTTTCGCAGTCTAAGCAAAAATCGTCGAGATTGCACACTAGAAACAAATCTTGCAACAAGAAAAAAAAAAAAAGAAGAAGCTGTACAACAAACGAAAGCGTTCATATTGAAATTCGTACCCCTCTCAAACATGCAACAATATATAAGTGCAACAAAAACGGTTTCCAAGATATACAAAATACTCTTATATTGACGAAAATTCTAGTCCAATCATTGTTTTTCGCAGTCTAAGCAAAAATCGTCGAGATTGCACACTAGAAACAAATCTTGCAACAAGAAAAAAAAAAAAAAACATCGATGAAGCTGTACAACAAACGAAAGCGTTCATATTGAAATTCGTACCCCTCTCAAACATGCAACAATATAAGTGCAACAAAAACGGTTTCCAAGATGCTGGCTTCAAATTTGTTCACAATAATTAATTTTTACACAAAATGTATGCCCAGCAGCAGGAGTTTATGGTCAGCTATAGTACCGTATATGTTTTTTTTTCTTGTATAATTAGGTGGGTCAGAAAGGAGGATTTCGGGGAAGTCCTGGCCCTGCACGTGTTCAACAGCATCGTTCGCCAACACTCGGATCGCAGTTTGGACGCCACTATCCCCACACACAACACCCGAATAATCCTGGGCATTTGGAGCCTTCTGGTCATGATCCTGACCACTTACTACCTCACAGTCCAATTCGCTATGTTCTTCAATGTACAATACACTCCGGTCATGGACACAGGCGAGGACTACATCAACGTCCCGAAAACAATCGTGTCTCTGGGCTCGTCTACCGGAGAGGCGTTGTTCAAGTCGTGGGGCATCAGTAACCGAGCCATTTTCACGACACCCGCAACCATGGCCAACGTTTACTTGGATCAGACGCTGAAAAACCGGAACATGGTGTTGGGCATTTGGAGAAACGTGATTCGGAACTGGCTTTTCAATTTCCCATCGCAGTACACGGATCAAATCAACCCGAAACATTATCGGATTTCCAGGGGCTATCCGATGCCGTTTTATACCGCGGTCGCGTTGCAAAAGATGTCGCCGTACACGGAATTCGTATCTGTCATTTGCATGCGATTGCAGGAAGCAGGCATCGTTGCACATTTGAATGATCATTATGCAGTGATTGCTGGGAAATTCGAGGCGACGTTTGCGGAAATGAGCTATGATCCTGTTGTCAGAGGCAGGAAAGAACGGCCTTTGTTGCCGCTGAGTTTGGTCGGACATTTGAGCGGGGCTTTCGCATTGCTCTGGGGCGGGCTTTTCATTGCTTCTGCTGTTTTTATATACGAAATATTGTCAAATAGGCTGAAGAAGAGGTCACACTAGTTGCTGCTGCTAAGAATAAAGCCTAATAAAAGAGGTAGTCGTCCATATGATCGTCTCTAGCATTTAAAACTTGTAGCATTTTCTGCTGGGCGAGATGTGGCAATATACGCTAGAAGAAAAAATGCACCAATCTTCGAGCTGCTGAGGATATGTGTCGCATGAAAAAAAAAAAAAACTGCCACGATATGAAAATAAAGCACCAGATCCAAATCATCCAATCATTTTTTAAATATTTTATATTCCAGGGAATGCTGCGCAATAAGATATGAACCTCACAAGATTTCACCCTCCATAATATACAGTAAGAATTTCAAACTCAGAGGGACCCACGAAAATTTGACTTAGTGACTTTTGAGTCGGAAAAACGAGCATTTTCAAAGGAATAAGTTGGAACAATTGTAGGAAAGCGCAATTTGTGGATCCGTTGGGCATCAACTTTTCAGATAAATAATTAGAAATGATGCTGACTCTCAAAGCGAGGGCCGATACATTTTTTTCGATTATTCACTAATTTTTAAAGCCTCTAAAGGTACATTTTTACTCTTTAATTTAATTAGTACACATATAATGATATTCCGAATAAATTTGAATAATAAAGACTTGAAGAGGAAAGCTTTTACGTTACATATATTTATTTGCGATGTTCTTATAATAAGCAAATTATTCAGATAGGAACTGAAAAAAATGCAACATAGAGAGGTTTAAAATTTTGAAATATTTGAGTTGGTATTGTAAGGTCCAACTTGAAAAAATCTATTGTTACCTTGAAAATGGATACAAATATAACCCCGTTACCTTAAAAATGAATATAACATGGAATTTTGTACAGATATTGATACTAAAAAATGAAACCTGAGAAAAAAGGTGAGCTTGATTGAATGTCAGAAAACCCCAATGTAGACCGTTCGAAATGCATACATTTAACATATCTTTAAAAATGGCTGCAACGCCTCCAAAATTTTTAATGCTTATTTTTACTTTTAAGAATGGACATCTTTATAAAATTTAATCTGGGAAAAGTTTCAATGAATACCCACTATATAGAGTCATTCATTTATCAATAATAATGCAGTAATTTATGGAAAATTGAAAAAATTGCAACACTAAAAAAGTGGACCTGTTGCAGGATTTCTGAAACTGTTGCAGTCATGATTAAACTCAAGAAATCCTGCTTTCTGAAAACAATGACTGAAGATTGTTTCCCAGTAGTTGAGACAAAAAATGTATAGTTGAAAACTTAATCTTGGACAAATCAAGACCGAAACTTTTTTGAGACAAGGAAAATTGAGATAATTACATTTTGAGAATTTGAAACATTTTGAGAATTTTGAGACAGATATACAGCAAATTTTGAAACAAAATGACTTGACTGTGCTTCTTTCTATTAGCTTATGTTTAAGGTGTGAAAATGAACAAAAATTGCACTGTTTGGCAAAAAGTCCATGATCCCACAGTGTTTCTCCTTTTTGTCCATGATCACTGTCAAGTGAGTTTTACTCATCAAGGAAAGACTAAAATCTTTGAACCAACTCAAGCAGATTCTTCTCCCCATCAAGATAGTTTTTGTCTCAATTTGTCCCTGTCTCGAATTTTTCGTGTCTCAAATTGTCTCTAATTCAAATTGTTTGTGTCTCAAATTGTCCTTGTCTCGAATTGTCCCTGTATATAATTGTTCCTTTTTCAAATTGGCCCTGTCTCAAATCTTCTGTCTCGATTTGTCCATATCCCTTGAAAACCTTATTCGTGAATGAAAGCTAAACATGTTTTCGTCAGTCGACAAGAAATCATTTTTCATTTTCATTTATTCGAAAGAATAATCAAAGATAAGATTGTGTTGTCGAAACCATGAAGTTATCTTGAAAACGCCGCCGAGTTGCGATAAAATCCTCAGCAATCTTGAGCGGATCGTCGAGTTTTGGAAAAATCGAGAGTGGCATTGATTAGGTGCAAGCGTTTGAGGTCCACAAATCCTGTTGAAGATTCTGAAAAACCATCTTAACTTCTAAAACAATCAGGAGTTTTGAAATTTCCATTACCTTTTTTTTATACAGAAGTTATTTGTGTTCGAAAAGAGGGAAAAAATAAGCATGTCGTATCGGTATACTTTGTTTTACTTCGACGGACCCGGAAGAGCAGAAATTCCGCGTTTACTGTTCGCTCAGGCTGGCGTGAATTTTGACGATCGACGGATTCCTTTCGAAAAATGGCCAGAAATGAAAAAGAGTGAGTTGAATATTTAAACAAAAATGCTAGGAGAGCTAGTATTTTAAAAATAAGTTCCTCACAGTTGCGTTAATTTATCAGTTGGAATTCTTAGAAGCTCTCAAAGATCAACAGCTAGACTTGAAGTGCTCCGTTAATTTGTTCAATTATTCTTGATAATAGCCCGAAAATGTGTTACTTATCATTGTTTACCAATTTTCTTCCGAATGCAACGTTCACATTCTGTAACAGCGAAGAAAAATTGCATGCATCAAATATTCGGAAATATTCGGTATTGAAGCACGACTAGCAAATGTCAAGCAGCATATATATGGCAATATACTTATTTTTCGACCAATTATTCAAGATAATTGATAGCAGTTAGAGTACTTTCAAAACTCATAAAACTTACAAGCGTATAGTCAGTTAAATTTAACTCTTCGAAAGATTGGCTTACACTTTTATAGCTTTCGAAATTTCCATTCCAATCGTATGACAATAATGCCTAAAGATTAATTTTTGGTGGGTGAATTTTGTGGAAATACAGCATTCGTGCATTCAAAAAATGCTCCAAAAAATGAAATGATACAAGATATTGGACAAAACTTGCATCGTCAACTCCCGCTCGAATCAATAATAGTGTATCACCATATTTTCAAAAATATTGCGTGTATACGACACACAGAAAGAGATAAATAGCAAAGGCATGAGTTGTATAATATTATATTCCTTTTCAAAATCGATATTGAATTATATTCGCAAGAAAAAAGTGCGATTGCACATTTTCAAGCTAGAAATAACCTGAAAATTTTAAATTGAACAGCTCTCGCTCCTCTCAGAAACAATTTCTATTTCTGAAGGTCTATATTGAGTTCAAATCTCAAGTTCCGTTAAAAGCAATCGAGATACGGGTCTCAAACTGGTTCAAGCACGAATAGAAGTAAAAATATTATAATACAGTATATATATATATATATATATATTCTGATTCGAAGATTAACTGCAGTGTGAGCGCGTATTACATTTGCAAGCAAAGCTTTTAAATGTTGAAGAAAAAAATAAATAAAACGAACCTGCATTTAAGTAGCAGAGCTATATTTTTGTTATATATTTTTTTGCATTTGGAGCAGCTTTCACTTTCGAACAAGTGCCAGTGCTGCGGGAATACGACCAGACATTGGCACAGTCGAATGCGATTGCTCGCTTTTTAGCGGAGAAGTTCGGTCTCGCCGGTCGCGACACGTGGGAAAAAGCCTTGTGCGACAGCATCGTCGACACTGCCAGAGACGTCTGGGATCTCCACAGGGCCTGGCGACTTTCGACGGACATGGACACGAAAAACGAGCGAAAACAGGCCTTGATCGACACCCAGCTGCCAAACTTCTTTGCCAGCGTCGACAAGTTCCTGGCGGGGAACCCCAAGAAAAGTGGCTGGCTCGTCGGAGACGAAGTACGGCAACCCATTCCTATCATATATAAGGCACCTTAATTCATTTCTTTTCCAAGTGCAGTATTCTTTAAGATTTCTACATCATTAGGCGCACGTTTTTTTTTTCTCCTTGCTGGTTGACCTTCGGCTTGAGAGAAGCGATTCTCAATCAATCAAACAGTTTCCAAAAATTTTTCACATTTTCGGCAACGAGATTATATTAAATCAATTGGAATAAGTGCATTCAAACAATCTGCTGGTGCTCGAAGAATAAACTTCAAAAATGTTTGAAGGAAGCTATCAAAAGTATCAGATTGCATATGCGGAATGTATTCGAGTTACTCAAGGTACTGCTTCATTTTTCAATTTTTTCTGCTTTTTGACTTCTGTCGCAAAGATAATCAGTGATAGAGACATTCGCGATTTAATTTCAATTAATTGCCGTAATTAAGATGAAATTTGAGTCTCCAAACACTTTTTCTTTGAATGCGCTTCATGTTGACTTGCTCGCGAAAAAGGAATTGATATGTTTGACATCAAAGCCAAAAAACGTAGGAGTGGACTGAGACAATATATTTGCTTCACTGCATATAGATCATCTTTCATAAACCTTAAGATGTCAAAAACATGTTCAATAATATGTTAACGCAATGTTAAAAGCAATTTTCCAATACTACAGCTGGTTTTCGAATGTCTGACTCTTCGATGGTTTTCGCTATTTTTTGCGATACACAAGAAAACAGCGTGGTTGGACGCAGAAGAGAGGACAACTTTTTTGTATTTCTCTCAAGATTTATTTTTTATATATAATATAATACATGGTACTTCCCCCGCGATTATGTTGCTGTAAAGTCTATATTCAAACTGATTTCTGTCTGATTTTCCTCCTTTTCAACAGTTGACATGGGCTGACATCTACATTGCTCACTCGGTAGAAAAGCTGTCCCTCGAAACGCCTCCGGTTTCCGCCAAAGATTATCCAGATGTCATTGCTCACATGGAACGCGTCAAAGCGCAGCCAAGGATCAAAGCCTACGAAGAAAAGCGAGGAGACTTGAAGAACTTAATGCAATCACCTCACAAGCCTCTTCCACCCAATTAAAGAATTATCCTGCTTGAATTACTGCTTCCAGAAAAATAAACGCAAAATTGCGCAAAATTAACCATCGTCTTCCGATTTAAATATGTCTTTCCAGCGTTGGATGCGTCTTCACTCTTCGAGAAATTCGAAGTCGGATTCAATTTTTCCTACGAAGTACTCAGGAATGCATGGCTTGTCAAACACCGACTCAATTATAATGATTTCTTCCACGACAGTATCAATTCCTCAACGATTGTCAAAGAAAAGCCAGCTAAAGAACCAGTTGAGTACAATCACCCGATCAGAAGAACCTTGAGCTGGCACGACTGCCTTGGCCTCGATTAGAAAAATTCTATCCCAGGTTGAACTGCCAAGAAAAAATCTCATTAGCTACAAATCAGCGGGGAAAAAAGAATATCAACAAAAGCCGCCAAATCTATTTACCTTTGGAGTGCCTGAAAAACGTTAAACATCTTCTAAGAAAGATATCAAAAATTCCTTCCCATTTCAGCAGATCGAACCCCACGAACGATATGGAGTAATCATCATATCTGTCGAACTTAGTCTCTTTTTCTAGAAAAAATTCATCAACCAAGTATATTTATTTATATCCACATTCTACAGTGACGAAATCATCTGGTATAATTTTGACGAGGAATTTAACGTAGCTATTGAGAAACCGGCAAATCCCCCCCAACCAAAAAAAAAAAAAAGAATAGGTAACACGGATTGATTCAAAAGTTTTGCCAGTGTTGTGCTGATTATCTCGTCGGTGTCATTAATTTTTAAAGAATAGGGGATACGATGTAATTTCTGGAAAAATTCTTGAAGGCCACTCTTCTCATTTCCATGCTACCAACAGGTGGAAATGGTGAAGAAACTTGAAAGTTAAAATGGTGAAAATAATGAATTTCCAGGAGACTTGGAAATTCATCCCTTCATCAGGAGGAATGAACGTTAAACTTTCATATTTGGCGTGTGATGAATTCAACAGCAGCATAAGAGCAAAAAATAAAATTTCAAAAAGTTTGAAAAGTCTAAATTCAAAATTTTAAGGATTTGAAAATCCTTTCCACTGGAAATTGTGACCTTATCTTGTTAATACAGTATTTAATTCAGTGATGCTGAATGTTATATGTGCCAGAATTTAATTTCGCAAGTAAACATAGATTTGAAAAGTGGAATGTAAACTGAAAAACATGGGGATTATTAGAGAATGCTCCACGAGGGATTTTAGAGCAAAAGCCATGGATGCAGGAAATTAATTTGAAAAAAATCGTTCAGAATACACATATAGGTGGAATAGGAAATTAAAACCAACAGCAATGCGATGTCTATTCCTGGAATTTATGCTCCATCTAATTTGCACTGAATCATCTAGTTGGAAGATCCATCATTAATTTGTCGCATCAAAAATGGTTAGTTACCAATATCCTGGTGGTTTCCACGATTTGAAATCATAGCTATGTACTTTCGACATTTTTATAATACAAACCGCCCAAGTCAAAGTATAAAATTAAAATAAACCGATTATAAAGGGAAGAAGTTTCTTTATCGATCCAACAATGGTTTATTTTGAAATTTTGGCTTTTAAAAACCTTGGGTACCGAACATTTCATTTCAGGTACTGACAAAACTTCGACAACATCCCCCGTAAACGAAAATTTGTAAAGTCTCACGGACATTTAATTTAACAATACGATTTTTTAGGAGCAAGGAGCAAAAATACCTTTTCAACTTTTCTCGCGAGAGAGACTTGACAAAAGCTTCAACAACAAAAAAAGAGAAAAGAATGCGCATTTAAATTCCACGTGCAGGGAAAACTTGGCGCCGGGATGCACAGGGTCGTGTTTCGACTCGCGGTGAGCTTTTACGAATAAACTATACCTAGAAACAAAAAGAAGAAAAAAATACGTTCTTGAACTCGGACGTCATGTGAGTGTCTCGAATGAATCGACAGTTGTTCGACAGTGACTTCTTCCTATGACCCCGTGCGACCTGTCTGGCACATGGGATATGGTTCGGGTATAGAACCCGTTGGCTCGCCGACGGGATTCTGAAGGTTCTTTCGCACCCCATCCCCGCTTTTCTAGTCTGAATTCATTGGCTCTTCGAGAGACACTGTCGTCTATTCGTGCATCTTTTACTTGTGAATCTCGTTGTGTTTAAATAATGCGAGTATTTAATTTGGTACAAAAATGAAAACTAAAAGTCGAAATATTATTTCAACGCTGACGCATGTCCAGTGAGTGAATGACGTTGCGTGAGTGATTAATGATCAATCCATTTACTTGTGTTACAAACCCATGATTTTGCTCCGAAAATGCATGCAAACATCGAAGTGAGAAGACAAAAAATACGGTATACTAGCACGAAATCATCATTTCGAAATTCTCCCTCGACTTATTTTGCCTTCAGCAGGACTGAAAATCGGAACCCGGACCTTTGAAATCATGAGTGCACGTCGTATATTCATAAAAATTACTGCGATGTATGAAAAAACCAGGGTCATATGAAAAAAAACATTGACATAAAGAACAAAACTTTCAGTCATTTTTAAAGCTAAGATACCACTTTTTTACTAAATTTTTTTTACTTGAGACCAAAACAAGACGTTTCACGATTATGTTAATCGTGAAACGTCTTGTTTTTGGTCTCGACCTGATGAACTGATGAACTTTGAGTTCATCAGACCTGAAGTTGATAAATGTGCTAACTAAACATTCAATTCGAGTAATGTAATTTCGATTGATTTAGTGCGTAAAACACATCTCGATCTTCAACAAAGAAATCTTTTGATAAATAATTTACAAACTGGAATAAAGATCAGCAATTTGATTTAAATTAAAGATTTTTCGACTCGTTTTAAATCCAGGATAAGCAGTTGAACCTCGATATCTCGAAACTCTCAAAGTCACATTTTTTTTCAAGTCCCTGTCTAAATTCTCTTAAAAACAATGCATCAAAAACTTGCTGATTTGAATGCTTTTCCTCTCAAACCTCCGTATAAATTGAATTTTCTGATGCCTTTTGGCTATTCTTTTCTTGACTTAGAAAAGTGAAAAGCAATAAAAAAAGGAATTTTATGCATTCCGAAGGGAAGTAAAAGACTACATTTGAAAAATGAAACCCTGCCTCTATATAAGTATCAGCATCCCGTCAACTCAGTTGAGAAGCAGTTGAAGGCCCAACATTTAAGGTTCCGTGCAATTCTTCTACATATATATGTCCCACAACAACAAAATGCTTGGTTCTGTAACTCAAGCCTCTATATGACTCAAAACCTCCCTAAATGAATTTTTTTGCTGGTCCCATGAAAGTCGAATTCCAAGATTCAACTGTATTTTCACTTCTAAAAGAGCAAATATCATTTCGAGAAATGATGAGAGCTTCCAAAAAATGTGACCTCAACAGGCCATATAATCTTCAGAGAATATTTTCGGCGCAAATTTGAATTGACTTTTTCGGCGTAAATTTAATTTGAACCCGGTCTGTTCAATAGGAACAACGTCCTTCGCTGTAATACAAACATTTATCTTCGGGAAATGAAGCGCACATTCATTCTATTTAAGATAGACCGTACAGTACTGTACAAATTTTCAGTTTGAATCATTGAAAAGCTAGGTAAGCTTAGTTTTCGAATCATTAACAACACTGATTATCAGACTGCTGATGCCTTAATCAATACGATAGAAAGAGACAGGAGTTGATAGAATTGAAATAAGTTTGTTCCTACAGAAATTATTTCAAATCAAGGGTAAGAATGAATTCAACAGTTTTCCGAAATGTATGGCTTATGAAAAATAATGCGAGATTCTAACACTTTCTCTCGAAGTCTCAAGTTTGAAAAATTATTCAGTCCTAAATTCGTGGTACGATTATTCGATTTGTTGTTCAGTCGAGGCACGAATAATCGAAGAAGTCGATTTAATTGAAAATGCTTCCAAATATAAATCACGGCGGAGCACATTTTACTGAATTCGGTATAACTAACTCAACTAGTTTCGAAAAGAAAAGCTTGTGAATGTTTCTTGTACATTCTGAATTTATTTTGGTGGCTCATAATCGTCGGCCAAATTTTACTTCAGTTTCCTGCGAAGCTTTGCTAGAGAATTTACCGTTGTGTATCATTTCACTGGTGTGGATGCACTTTTCAAAAACATAAATTACAGAGCAGCTGCTGGGAAAATTGAAAATTACTCAATGCATGATTATGGCAAACCAAGCCTGAAGCAGCGCGAAACATTAGAAAGCAAATTCAAGTTGAGATGGAACACAGACTGCAGATATTTCAAAAACACGAACCAAGCAATGATTAAAAAAAAACCAACAACACGTACACAAAAATTTCTTTCTTTTTTACTTCGATGCAATCATTGTAAAAAAAAATTTCAAAGATTGAATGAAACTCTCACGCAGTCACTATATGTGCGTAAAGAGAATGCAGAAAGGGGAACAATTTAGCACGAAAAACGTTTCGCCAGTTTTGCATGAAGTTCCAGCCTTCGCAGATCAGAGCTCGTCATGAGTCACCTTTTTTGCACACGCACACACCTCAATCCAAAGAATAATGCAGCTGAGAATAACGGCGAATCGTTCCATAGCAACATCGGTGAAAATTGGAACCGCCGGCGAAATCTTCATCAGTACTTATTTCGCGAAGGTCCAACAAGGACTTCTACGAAATTCTTCTATACAAAACATCTATTTAATGATTGGTGAAATGGATAATATGAATCAGCGCATCGCATGTCAAAATATCACGCATCATAAATGTCTGGTACATCATGAATCAATAAGCGAATAGGGTTTTCTTTCATGGCTTGCTTGCGCTGATTTTCACATTTCAGTACTGCGCTAGATCTTTCTATGGTCACGTTAAAATTTAGTATTCGCCTTCCGTGCGAAATTATATTCAGTTTGCTTGATGGGTTTTAATTGAGGCTTATAATCAAATGCGCTTTGATTGTTTTTGTTTTGCTAAAATTGCTAGTTCTTCCAGATTTATTCTTGAGCTATTTATACAATTTTATGCATTTAAGTGTGTTGTGATCTGAAAAATATTCAGTTGTCTGGAGTTTTATTAGGAGTAAAGCCAATTTTCTTTTAGAGACAATTTCTACTGCCATTGTCGTTCCAAAATTTTAGACAAAAATGATGAACTGCACTGCTACTTTTGATAATGTTATCATGCTGCATAAAATTTC